GCTGCTCAGCTCGGGCTGACTCGAACCACTGTTGCTCAGAGCTCAAACTCTTGAGCGAGCTCTTAACCAACTGAGCCACTCAGCCGGCCCAAGAAAGAGCCATTTGATGTGAGCACCAAGAAGAAATTTATCTGCTGATATGAACTCGTTATGGTCAACTGAGGGCCCAAATTTTATAAATAATTAGAGTCTAGCAGCCATTTTCTGGCAGGGGCTCCTCATGTACACTGTATACCATGAAGAACCATTGACTGAACACTTGGCTTCCTGCACTGTGCCCTGCTGATTTAGTCTGTCTGAGTCAACCACTGCAGGGAAGCCCTGGTTTCATCTTCTGGCCAATGGACTGAGTGAGACCTGCCTTGTCCAATCAGAACTGCTCCATAACAACCAATCAAAATGGGTAATACCAATCAATCAGGGCTACACAATTCAGACCAATCAGACCAATATGAATTTGGTTACCTTATTTACATAAAATGGATCTAATTGGGGCCCTGGGTAGGAACTTTTCGTTTAAAAGATGACCTCCCCTCTGTCTCAGCAGAGGGCAACTTCTGTTTCCACTGGAGGATGCATTTCTACAATTTGCAACCTGTTTTTTCACCTGAATAAAGTCTATCCTTTTCCATACCTCTTTGGGAATAACGAATTACATGTTCATGAGTTTGGATTCTAACCTGAAGACAACGGGAAATAATGAAAGATATTTTAGCAGAAGAGTAACATGATCAGATTTGTCCTTTAGAAGATTATTCTGGTGAGCAGTGTGGAAGAAAGGACTGGAGCAGGAAGATTGGTTGGCAGGCTTATTCAATGACCAAGGCAAGAATCAATGACAATTTGGAATCTGCCCATGGCAGTGGGGTAGGAGGAGAGGTGTATATGAGAACTATAGAGGAATAGGAATTTGGTGGAGAACTGCTTATGGTGGTGAGTCTAGAATGATTCCCGGGTTTTGGGGATGTGGCAAGTTGATAGATGGAGGAATAATTTTCTCAACAGAGGAAATCCCAAAGGGGAATCCAAATTCAATTCACTCCTCATTCATTTTTATTTCCAGTGTACTAACGAATTCCCTGTGATTATTAGCTTTTATCGAACATTTAGTTTGTATACTACTCTTTCTGGTGGCTTCTGGTTTTATTACCCAGCTAATGGGGATAATATCAGTTCCTTCCTCATATTTAAGAATTAATGAGTGGATGCATGCATTGTTCGAGGCACATGATAAGTATTTAATAAATGTTATAATTAAAACCAATGTGTGTAAACTCAATCCAAAATAGTCATAAAACTCATTTTCTCACTCAACAAATACTTCCTGAGTGCCTATTTTGTACTTATTATTGTTCATTCTTTAAGTGGACAACTGTCAAAAAGCTGTGAAAAAGGGGCTTATACTATTAAAATAGTTTCTGCTTCCTGTTTTCTTTGTATTCCCTCTCTCTCTGTTTTCTTTTCCCAATATGAATATAGCATCCATTTCCAGGAGGAAAAAAGTCCAGATTGCTAAGTTTTTAGAGAGACTGAAAAAACTTGCCTGAATTATTGATTCATAGCTTTATAATGCACCCAGGATAGTAAGGACATTTATAGATTTCATGAGCTGTTTAATATCTATTTGTGGAGCACCACCATGTGCAATCATCTTGGACTCATTATGTTTCT